TTTATCTACGCTTATGAGGGTACACACACCGGCTCTAGACACGTAGCAGGTCTGAAAGGGATCGGCCAGTTTCTTTTTACTCTTTTTACGTTGGCCAAAGATTCATGGCAATTATAAAAAAGGGTTGGGTGGAAACCCTCAGATTTCGGGGGAATGCGAGCCGGGTGGTTAGTAATCCGTTCAGAGGCCCCACGCTTTCCAAAGTTCCGCGAACCGTTCGTAACGTTAATTTCGTAAGAAACATTCCCATTGCTCGTGTTCTCAGTCAATGGCTTTTTACTTAATTGGAAAACGTACTTTCAAGTGAAGCAATTAATGCACGTAAATGGGAAAAGTAATCGACCGAGGCGAAGGTCGACGTTAATATGCGTCACTTATTCAATCGCCACGTTGCCGTCGCGAGCCGTGCTTAAATTCTCTCTTCCTCGCTTTTGAACGCGACGAAGTTTACGGCAGAAGTGACGAAAACGTGCGAACGTTGATGTACTTTATAAACTGAGTACAGGTATTCAAATATAATGCCAACTGAGTAATTCTTCTGAATGAACAGTACGTTCAACTGGACATTTAAAAAAGGTCTCGTGTCGACCTTCTTCTGTCAAGAAGGAAGACAAAACAAATGGTGTTAATTTCGCCTGGGCCAGATTCTATTTTTAAAAAGTGAGCGACTTTTATGACACGAAATAAACTTCCATCGTCGGGCGCGTTTGCGCAGTGGACGATGTTGTTTCCCGTACTTCGTACGATATTCGTCAAGTTTTTCGCTAAAAAATGTATCTGCCTAAGTGTCGTCTGGAAACTTAGCTAGCGTCGCGGTAGAAAATTTATGAAACCGCGAAATGCGAGCAGCCGTGATAATTCGCTAACGCGTTTCATTCTTTTGTCGAACGAAGGATCGAATCGATATTCTCGATCCATACACTTAGGACCTCCGCGTTACCCTGACTTTTCGTAACGTAACATTTCTACAAATAATTGAACTTTCTATACGAAGAATCGTATCGAATCCCCCGGATTCCGAAAGTTCGATTAAAATCGTCTCGGCGAGCTACGAAACAAGTTAGGATTCACCATCACACCGCGTCAGCGGAACGAAATAAACCAGGAGGTAAGATAACGAGAAATCGCGGTGGTTTTCGTGAACGGAATGCAGGAAAGGAAATCAGGTTCGCGTGCTTCCGCTAGATTATTTTCACGGGAATGGGTAGAAATCACCGCGGTGCCGACGCGGAAGCCCGAACGCCGACGTACCGTTTCCCCCCCGCCTTTATAATGCCGCGAAATAATAAGAATTTCGTCTGCTTAGTCCCGTGGGTGCTTACATCCCCTATTTACGACGACAGTATCTCGGCCTCTTTATGCCAGCCGGCTGGCAAATATGCGCGGCCCGATCCCCGAGCCGCCGAGTATTTTCTCCTTCAACCGTTCAGCCCAATCTCACACGCCGCAGGGACGATAATGGAGACAAAGTTACGCGCCTCTCACGTCTCCCTCGTTCTCGTTTCTTTCAATTCCGTCCCTTTCTCCCGTTCTTTTTTTTGCCGCAGCAATAATAGAAACGAGAAACTGCGAAATCGCTCGGCTACTGACTTTTAGAAATTCATCTCCCTGCGCCATAAACATGTCTTTTGACGATCCGAGGTCCTATTTCCGTGTGCAATTATTTTTCCACCTTTATTTAATTCGACACGGACGAAAACGTCGACGAAGAAAGGTATAATAGCGATCACGTGACTATGACCCGTGATAAAACTACGTCGTCTTTTTGAGACGTTACCACTTTTCAGTTTTAATCGCTGCACACGCACGTTAAACTCCGGTTGTAAAATCGCATTTTTCTTCTCACTATTCCCGGGACGAGATACACGAAGCAATTTCCTAGTTGGGAGTACGTCTTTGAGTCTCTGCTCTACACAAAGAGCGCACAACAATACTCCTCTTTCGTTAAGAAAATGAACATTCAGAGTTAATGCCCTATTACGAATATGCAGCATTACGATATTCCCTGCTGTACGTCGCAGCTGACGACTGAAAACTTCAAATGCACGGATAAAGCATAAGCGTTCCGTCATTAATAATTTCTACGCGTAAACTTTTTCCTATTAGCATGCGACATAGTTCAACATCACTTGCCTAAATGGAATTGCAATGAATCCGAGATCGTTGGTTTTTAACGTTAATCTGTCTCTGTCACGTGTCCGACGTATGTAAATGTAAAACGTACCAACAATAATAATCCGGTATGTATGACGCACGTAACACTCGTTAAAAACTGAGAAAAGCAGTAGAACATGAGAGAGAAATATTATTCCTTTCGACCTTAAATCTTTGTCTCTTTCGTGCCTTTCGCTGAACATGTAAAAGCTTTATTTCTACGATTGATGCAGGTATAATCCATGTTAAGCGTGGCTTAAGAATAATTTTTGCAACTGCCCACTTTCAATTTGATTTAATTCCATCCACGAGCTCACCCCGGCTCGTTAGACGCCTTTAGGAGCGTTTAAAGGTTCGTTCGGTATCGCGGCGACGGTAACCGGGGGTCTCTCCTTTCGACTCTCCGCATTTATCTTCTGTCCCCGGCTAAGGTTAACGCAGAGTAGCGCGCCGCGTCGTCCCTCTTCACATTTCCATTACGAGAAGGACCTTAGTAGCTGCGAGGACATAGCATATAGCATAATAACGAGCCATGAACGGCACAACACGCAGGGCCCGCTTTATTTCACCATCCTCGGAGCCTGAAATATCTCGCGACCCTCTGAAATCACTTCACGCTCGCTTCCAGTGACTCGCAGAAGTCCCTCCGGCTTCCCTCCGTCTGTTTCACTCGCTCTTCCTCGTACTCCGACACTCGCAGCCCCGGCTTAATGCGGACAACGGTAACTCATTCGAAACTCGTTGCCGGCGGACTCGCTGGTTTGACGCGGGAAAACATCGACATAGAATCTCTGTTCAACTCGTAATCACGACCAATCTGTTGGACACGCGGACACCGAGACAATCGTCGACTCGTTCGATCGCGAATCAAAACGAATTATTTTAATATGAGATGTTTGGACATAGCAGAAATTCTTGGCACTGCAAGCTCGGACGTGAAATTGAATTTCAAAACGAGTCCAAGTAACTCGAGACGGTTTCGAGTAACTAATATGTAATTGTAAAATAATAGTCAAAAGCGAGGAATGAGAAATGAAATCAGGCATGGAATATCAAAGCTCTTAAATTGTAAACACCGGGAGGATTCCATTAATTTTAAAGAACATTAAACGCGCCGTTACGAATATGCATTACCAGATACACGTACGTACGTATAATACATAGGTAATAGGTACGTAATATAGCCGCTAATATGAGTTGTATAATTACAAGCAGGTTGAATGCATTAGTAAAGAGGACGATAAGTAAAAGTACACCGGGCTAATAGGCGAATTACAAAAATGTGTTCCACGCGCGACGGGGAACCGAGCGGCAGAAACGTTGCGAACGATAAGCAAAAAACTAATTGCATGAGTTTCGTGTGTGCAATTGTGACTCGTTGAAAACTCGTTGCGCACGCAGAGAGAAATGGGAACTGTGTTCGGACAGTAACGCGAAAACAAAGAGTTCTGTTCCCCGCGACCACATGTCACAGAATTATTCCTGATACCAGAATCGCGATTTTCTAAGTTCTAAGAATGAGGTATCTTATCCGTCGTCGTTTTAGAAGTCTAGCAAATTTTCAACGAATACCAGATTTTAGAAACGTGATTTAATGTTTTCTGTGGAATAAGAAAATTCCAATAATTTTGTTCGTGTAAATCCGATACTAGGTGGAAGTAGGATACGTTTATCTAAAATCTTAAAGGCACTGTACGCGATCAAGGGACTCTCCGAATCGAGAATGCGCGAGGAATTCGTGGAAGGTACCAGGGGACGAACGTTAAACGGCGAGTCGATCAATTACCCGCGTATATATAGGCGTCTAATGCAGAAGAACACGCGTATAAGCGATATCACTTGTCGCCACGTTCCTTGTTTATTGCTGGCAGGATGTGTTGGCAAAGAAGCAGCATGTGATACTTGTAACAGATTGCATTTCGTGCCGGGACACACTTTGTTACCCGGGTTTACACTTTCATGCACCAGAAACGACCTCACGTTTCCCGGCTCGCGTCGGTCTATTTATTTTGGCCACTTGGGTTTTCAAGGTGCTGTCACCCCGGTTCGTGACACCCCGGCCCTGGGCCCTTTTCAAGTTCACCGATCCGACTTGAAAAGCGTTAGAAAATACGTCTCGCGTTCGATGCATAACCCCGTGTTCTCAATTTCCTTTTACACGCCGCGTATGTTTTTTATACCATGTACTTCCCAGTGTCGTCCCTATGTGCGGTATATGTATATGCGCGTTCAATAACTTTGAAATGTAAATCCGGAGAAAATGCACGTCGCATCGGTGACTTTTTAAATATACGATATCGAACTACGATAAAAAACATTTGCGTACATGAAATATTGGTATTAACAATTTTTCATATTGTACAAGTACACTTCGGTGTCTAACGTTTAAAGTGTCTGATTCGGAGATAGAGGGTTTAAGCCAAACTCTTTCTCGTCACATACAATACATCCTGAAGATACCAGTTCTCACAGAAGTGAAATTGGAAAACCGTAAACCTTATCCGTCCCTCTCAATTCTTGCGGAACGGAATTAAACGGAACCCTGCGTGCGTTTCGCTTGGAATTCCTCGAGCAAATCGTTGACACAGGTTCGTGATTCCTTTTCAACGATAAGTGCGTGTGCGCGCACGTACACTCCCGTTCAGAAGCCTCAGGGTGATCGAATAAAATATTTATAGAAACAGCATTTCTAAATCAAATTCAATTTTCAACACGACTTCATTGAACCAGAAGATGAATTTATCTTAAAATTTATCTTAAATCAAATGATTACCTCAGATGACATTTCGTGCCGATTTATCATGCATATCAATTTAAAAGATAAATGCATAAAATTATCAATTCTGTTAAAACAATTACAGGACAATTTTTTTTCTATTGGAAAGGACATGAATTCTATACAATTATTTGGTTCATCTTCTTTAATTTCATTTATAAGATTTGTGGGAAATCTATTATTAACCGTAGCTTATGGACAGGAATGTACGTCGACATTCTTACACGGTACGCGTTACTGGCTTGCGTGCAGTACATTTGTAGGTACAATGCATCATATTTTCCTCGGTCTCGCGGTTCCTGGTCCGGTCGAACGATTTTCATATAACGGAGGGGGAAAAATCGCCGTTGCCACGAATTCCTTTCCGGCCGATGCGCCTTTTGCCAGTTTAAGGGACGACGACGCGGCACAGCTAACGTAGTTAAAGTTCAGGAGTGAAGTCCCCATTCAGGGACCTTGCGTGAAGCACCGAAATCATTAACGGTTAATCGAGCAATAATTCTCTGGATGGTGACTTCCGATCGATCCAGCTCGATTTCACCCGTGGCGCGTCCGACAAAATCCTCAACCTTCCATCTTTTTTACGCTTTTTTTTTTAACGGCCAAGGTATAGGAAATAATATTGAAAAGGAAAGCGCGAACAGAATTTTCAGCTTTGAAGCTATCATACCATACTGTAAAAAACTTTCGATCCGTTAACTTCCCGACTAATAAAATTTATGCAAATCGCTGTTCAAGCACATATTATCGCCAAGAATATTTTACAGATGAAACTTGTTTATATAACGTAATGAGCCACTACGTAGATTTTTACATCGTCTGCTCGTTTAAATTCCCATCTTCTTTTTATTAATTGTGATCAGAGAGGTACGTGAAGGCTATTGATATTGGAAATCAGACATTTTGACTTAACCACTATTCTTCTAGTCATTCCTTCCTTTTTTTCTTCGTCTCAAGTCATTAGCATAGCATTAGTACGACCAAGTTTCTTGCTTTCCGGAATCTAGGGAACGGTTGCATCCCTAACGACTGTTTGCACGGGCAAAACCTAGAGGTTCTCTTCCTTTCCGTGAAAGTTATTCTACTAAAGCCTTTCGACCGGTTCGGAAACCAGATGATAATACAGTAATCACTTTTTAATTAGTTCTATATGCGCTTTTAATTCTTTGTCACAAGCAGTCATGTCCTACGTACTGAACGTAAGCTCTCAGTTTTCGTACCTGATTTTATATTAAATGCTGTAGGTAATTACTGCAAGAGATTACACACTAAATTTAGACATTTTCAAGTATAAATATCATTCTTAATAAAGGTGTGTCAGACAACGTTCCCTCTTAGAGTTGCTAAAGTGCAGATGTAACTCCTCGCAGATCTGATTATTTTATAATCGGACTCGTTCCTAATTGATCCAATGCCGTATTAACGTCTCATTGGTACCATCACTCAGACTCACACTCACAGACTCAGAAAGTCCCGACAGACAGACAGACAGGTGAGCAGACAGAGGAAGATTCGGTCGCCTAGTAACGAAGCTAACTCAAATTTTACGGAAGACTCTAACACACAGAATAACAAGATTGAGCGTAGCCAACTCGAAATCTCTTCATCGCGCCGACGACACACGTTACCAAGTCGTTCCGTACGGATGCCTCGTCGCTATACGTCGGATATACATAGAGCAGAAGTTCCAAGACTATCACCGACCGTATCGCCGCGCCCTGCAGCGAGGATCCTCTTAATTGCACCCGGTAATTATTGTTTACGTCGCAAATACATCAGAGCGAACGCCTCTATCACGAATCTGCCAGTCTAATACATACTCCGGCTACGATCTCCCTAACTAATTTTATCTTTTAATCTCGCGTCATAACGTCTGCCGAATCGCTGCCCGTTCGGTTCCAAATAATTTCGTACAGTTAGATCGGAAGACCGAGCAATGCGGATATAATATTGAGCTCCAATAATTTCGAATTAAATGGAACGACTCTCAAGTTGAAACCCTATGATTTAATTAGTATAGCTCTGCACTTCGGAAATTTGTTCGATCGTACAATTTTGGCTGTAACTAATCAGTATGAGTTATTGACCGTCCGTATTCTTATAACAAATATTTGCGTTTCTCGTTCTCTCCATTTCAATCTCATGCGCTCTTCAAAACTCGCAAGAACTTAATTCCATTTCTCGTACCTCGTATCCGTGAGCAATAATTTCGAAATAGCCGAGCAATAGTCGCGAGAGCATCGTTCATACGTCGATATGTTACAAGGTGTACATAAATGCGGGAGAGAGGGGGGAGAAAAAACAGGACAATAAGATGAGATAAGTAGCGATACGGGGATAGGTTGCGCGTCGCGTTGGGAAAATACAGAGGTAACACACGTGTAGCAATAAAACGTGAGCGAGGACGACCCCTGGGCTTTCAGCTACACATCTTCATCCATCGGTCTCTCGCTGCCCGCGTCTCGGCTTGTGATCCTTATACCATCGCGTCGCTGTTACCTCGGTTACCGTCATTAGAAACGTTAGTGTCCGTTTCGTTGACGTAATCGGTGTCACCGTACGCGTATAGGACGAGACACCGTGGACGTGTGTCCACGTTGGAATGGAATAAAGGCGGAAGATGAAGCGAGGGATGAAGAAAAACGGATGAAATTCCACGCGAGAGGTGCGCGAAAGTGACTCCGAGCCAGACATTGTTAAAACAGTGGCTATTCTTGACTTACGACGATGTCTTTCGTTACGATATTATACCGCTATCGGAGAATTTGAAAGTGTCATCGATTCTCGAGCGTTCTTTCGAATCCAACGTTTTCATGCGGGAGATATATGTTTAGAATATTGAAAGACTGCTTGCGGACACTCGGAATGGAAACAGTCACTATTTCACGGCCGAACGGACGGTAAGAATCGTCGCGTTAGAATACTGGCATGCGGGTTATTCGTCGCGACGCCGACGTCTTTCCCGGGGTCGATTAGAAGCGATCCAGGATTAAGCGGTCGGATATTTAATGGACTTTATTGGACGGCGACGTGGAAAACGAGGGAAACTAATTTTCACGTATTATCGGCATATCAGACGAGTTACAATGATAATTAAGTAATTAACGAAAATCGTTTCAAATTGCCGCGCTCCATAGACTTCTGTTATGTAAATTTTTTGATGAATTTCATTCGGATGCTAATAAAACATAATCAACGTGATTAAAACGAACGTAATTCCGTGCCGCGAGAGAAGTCTGAAAGGAATTTCCATATTCATGTTACCGAGCGTGCCGCGCGCTATTGTTCAAATTATTTTATTATCGTGATACCAATAACGATAAACAGTTACAGTAGAGCTACAATTATGACGTTGCCGTTACGCGTATGTAACGGGTATTATTAAAGGAGAATGTGGAACAGTTTAATTCCTAATCAATTACACGCTGCATCATGGTATCTCTGGGAAATAATTTAGACTGGCAAAAGCGAAGCGACGTAACGAAAGAAACGTTTAGTGGACTGCCAGTGAAAGTCGGGAGAGTTTATGTTAAACATTCGCCCGTGATGCTGTAGCCTTTAAAAAAAAAAGGAAGACCGATGGTTGTTACACGGTTATAGAGACTTTTAAAACCCAGCCGTTCTAGTGGTCGTTCCAAGTAAAAGGAGGCGAGGGGAAAAAAAGAAAATGAAAGAGGTAAAAGTGGAAATACTCGTAGCGCGAACGCTTCTACAATCAATAACCGCAAATTGATAAAATTTCACGTCAACGATTGCGTCTCAAGTTGCAAAATGACGACGCGGTATATAATAATAAGAGGGTGCTTTCATTTCTCCCCTGTGGCATCTGTTTCATTCGTGATAAAAGTTCCATCCTTGTCACGAGGAGGTGTCTATAAAAATAAAATATTCACCAACGATTATATGACGTCTAAGATCTAAAGCTATGAATTTGAACGAGTACTTATATAAACGACCAGTACACGCGAAACTTATTTATTTTTGTCATCTTTTTAAATGAACAGTTCTCGAATGCACAGCTTCTAAACATCGTGCAAGTTTATCTCGTCACTTTTGCATGGAGAAACGATAATACGGTTTAATATGAAACGATACGACGTATTTGTTAGCTGTTTATAGTTCCCGTTTCTAGAAGATAACGGGTAATAACGTCGTAACCCCGATAAGAAGGACGGGGCAATATGACGATATTGTTTGAACAACGTGATGCCTCGGATTTTGTATAATACGTAAAACGAAAAGGTGTTATCATTTGCCCATACGAGTTCGCCGTCGTTAAAGAAGTTATAAGCTCCTAATGCGTTAATAAACGATGCAGTAAGAGGATTCCAGACAAATTTTATACGTCATACAATTACGTTTCTAACATCTAAACGAATATTGAAACGAGAAAAGGAATGAGTAATTTTTATTCAATTATGATAGACGTTCGAAGCATAATTATCGTTCTATGAACGATGGCCGAAACGCGTGGGAAAGAGTGTTGAATGTGGGGCTATAAAATTTTGAGACGTTATAACACGTGCGTTGGGCATTACTGTTAAAGAGCTATAAGGCAGCTCGTCGTGCACCTGCTATGCTGAACGTTATACTTTGCACCATCCTCCTCCCAGTAGTTGACAGGTTATTACACCTACGTTGTATACAAAGTATTATCTCGTATCGTACTTGTAAAATATGGCCTTCCATTATATTAAGAATTTTCCACGAAACGCCGCTGTATGTACAGATACCTGGTATACTTGTACTTCCTAGTCCCGGTGAAATAAAACAGTTTAAGTCGGCGAGGAAAGTCGAGCTACTGTACGCTACCGTGGAATTTATTGCTGAACCTTCGACAAAACTTTATGGAATCTTAGGTGCGTTGATGAGAACTGGTGCTGTGTAATACCCTAACGGCGCGAAACTTTACGTTAATTACGAAAATAATACGGTATCTTATAAACCGTTGAATTTACTGTATTTCGCCTCTCGACAGTGATTAAGCTTTTTATTTAAACGAATGTTTTACGAAATGAATTACGATGATTAAAATGTTTCCAAGTATCCCATAAAATGTTCAGAATATTTATTTGATTTAACTAATGATAAAAATTAATTCTGCACAAGTGTGTATTGTAGAAATTTATATTATACCGTCCCGGTTTCGTGTTTTAATTTAAATTTAAATTAGCAATGAGGTTAAAGCGTGCGAACAAATTTCAGGTGCAGAGAAAACGTATGTAAGCCAGATAAATTTCTGAAGGTGAAGCTTAGTAGAATTAATAATGATCTCGTATAGAAATTTCAATCCCGTGAAATAATTGTTGTTAAGATTTTTTTGTAAATCTTTTATATAAATTACTTAGATATTACATGTTTTCGTTGAAGTATACGGTGTATCATATTGAAGAAAGGAAAAAACGAACCTCTGCCGTTACATGTATTGCTCTCTTTTACAATGCTCGCGAGCGATATGAAACTTTTCATGTGCAAAGTTCGAGTGAAATAAAATTAAAAGGAACGCGTTAGGCAGAAAAAAATTCGAAGCGCAGAACGCGTATAAAAATATGCGTTATATTAGTTTTTTCTCTAACAAGCCGACTTGTGTTACACATTTTCTGCGTTTCGTCCTGGCAATAATTTTTCAATTTACGCTCGTCGTTTAGGCGTTTAACATTACGAGTGAATATTTTTCATCGCTTATATTTCTGACAGATTCCGATGTTTTTCATTGATGCGACTGTCTATCACGAGCGAGCTTAAAAAAGGATGGGGATACGTACAGTTTCATGGAAATATCACAGTAAGCGCCTCTACATCCGTGAATTCTTTTGCACCCACGCATTCCATAGCAATTTAAAAAATAATCCATACAAATGTGTGAGGAATTCAAATAAACGATGCCAAAAATAAGGTGAATATATTAAGAAAAAATGTACGGGCGAACATTGCGCGTCTAGATATTTTTTCCTCGGTTACTTTTTCAACCGTTCTCGCGTGGCAAATTTCTCGATTTGACCGAGACAATACCCGGTTTTGGGTGAAAACTCGTGAGGATATGTGACAACGTTTTGTCTCTCGCGAATCCGTTGCAATCCCGCGGACGATTTCTCTTTTTCACCTTACACGGGAGAAAAATGATTGAACAAATTCAAGGAAACAAAATTTCATGCTTCCCTCGTTCGCTGATATTCCAATTCGAGGCTGAACATATGTGCGGTGGACGTGAAAAATAGATTTTATTCCATTCGTTCATAGCAGTGGGTTTAAGTAATTAAAACGTGTAACAAAATATTCTACTGATATTAAATTTCCTCAATTTAAGTGTATAATTGCGAATTTTCTGTTAATACCAATCGGTACGAAATATATTTTGTTCAACAGAAAATTGTATTTCAAAAATAATTTCGCAAAAAACAATATGAAACGAGGTCAATTGTTATTTGCAATTCCGAACCCGTTTCAAATAAAGAATATCGCGTCTCCTTTGCCGTTAACCACTCTACTACAAATCTTTCCATTTCACCATCGGCAAATTTGATTGTCTCGAGACATAAAGACCGATTATTCGTGTTACTTTGGTCGCGTCGCGGTGTTAATTCATCGAACAACGGTAAACGTAAAACTAATGACCACCGCCGAACGAGCGAGCGAGCGAGACGACGGATCGGTTTACGGTTCTCTCAGAGATGCGATGCATAACGCAAAAGTCATGCACACGGGATTGCTCGCGGGCTATTGTGTCATACAAGGTGACGGTAACCAGCTTCGTGATTTCCTTGAATATTCATTCCGCTCCGCGTCCGAACTAAGCCGGATACAATGCTTTTGATGAATATTGTAAGTGTTTATGTATTCGCTTCAATATTCAAATCACACTGTAATGTTTTAACGTGCGCCACTCCATTCTCCCCTCGCATACTGCAAATTAATTCGCGATGCCCTGAAAAGTTACCCCTTCAACGCACCACCTACATTTACGAATTAATATCTCGCAGTGCGCCAAATTTATCTTAATGCATACGCGTTGATTAATTTTCAATGGTAGTACATCGTAGCTTCTCATCATGATTCACCCAGCTAATGAATTGATTTTCAATGATGTAGACTAATTATTATTCTAGCCGATTTTCATATTCCTGAGAACGAGCGAAGCATAAACAGAGCTAATATCGTTTTTTAGTACTCGTATTTATATTTGAAAAAGAAATTACAGCTACTTTCGATGCGAGGGAGAAAGTTGTCGAGGGGCCATTTACACAGAGTAATGATTATTTCTGCAAAAAACTTTGTTACGTATAACATATACAAGACAATGCATTTCATGAACAGTGCCATTGTTTTCAATGAAACGAATATTTTTTGCTTTATTTTATACACGGTTTACATTTCTATACGATTTACGAATTCTATTACGACTGGACATCGATTGTGAATACACGTGATTATATATGTATATGTATCATAGCTGTGAAATATGGATAAATTCCCGGGTAAAATTTGACCGATACAAATCTCACGGAAGGGAATTATTTGATTTAAACAGAACGATTTAATGCCACGATTAAGCACGAAGAAATTTATTCAGTCGTTCGAGCAATGCATACAGGTGGGAGGGGTGTGGGATACGATATCGATTGCGGATTATGGCAATTGATGGCCTCGAAATCTCATTACGAACGTAACACAATACCTACCTTTTAAAGTGGAAAGTGGCGGATCGTTGACATCTGTGCGAGGTAGAGTACCTGCGGAGAAGAATTTCATCCATGAACATCCATCAGAAGTAATCGCTGCTTAAAATATGTGTTTATGTCAGCGAATTCGATACGAGTCAATACTCGTTTAATGTACAAGCACACGGTGCGACGTACGATAAAATTTAAACGATACTTTTTGAATAGAGTACAAAGGGAGGGAATCAATGAAACGTTCGAAACGGTGAGACCGTCGCGGGAAACAATTTGTCCGCGAAATATAATATGGACGAAGAAACGCAGCGGAACGAATAGTAGTTTCTATATTCCACCGGGCGAAAGGGGACCGCGACGCGATGGCAAGAAACGGAGAAGATTATCTTGCGGTTGCGATTACTTTGGCTTCCTTCCGACGTATCGTGTTCTACGAGCCACGAAGGAAATGCGACTGTTTATCGATCAATGCAAAACGCGCGTCGCGTCGTTTCGTATATTATTGCGGGTCCCCGTCAAAAATTAATGCCTCCCCGGGGAGAATATTGAGATAAGAAATGCAACTAGAGCATCGGTCGTCGTTCCCTGTTATCGATCTCTTCCTCCTTCGCCCCGGTTTCATCGTTCAACAGACGTTTATACACCTAATACTTAACTTCGTGCTTGTAAATGAATTTAAGCTCGTCCCTAAGAAAATACGACGCTGCGAACTGATAAATCGGTAATCATCTTTCGCATGCGAAGCCAACGTTAAGTTAGAAATATCGCCCCGTCCGTTATTTCAAAGCGTGTTTCCATGCGATTAAGAAATTCTCCATGGTTTTGGTTTAACCATTCTTCTACTTCGCCACTTTCCGCGTATGGAACGATATCGATAACGAATCAAATTAGAAACTGCGACGATCGACAATTTCTCGGGTTCGACCATTTTTTATCAAATAAATAGCTGTTGTGGTTCAGAACGTATTAATAAATAATTCATGTGAATTCGCTTCGGGCATTCTTTTGACGAATTTTTGTCAAGACTTTTCCAACTAATTTCCCAGCATCTGGTTTGTTTAAGATTGGTACAGAGGGACCGTGTTTAAATTCACGAGCAGGAGGCCGCATCAGCGGAAAATAATCAATTCCTTTGATGAAAAGAATCTTATGAACAAAATCCTACGCAACGAATGTTACTTTATACTTTATCAGTTTTATTTACCGCTCCGAAGTTCAATAATCTTTGCTGTTTTTATGTGCCAAGCGGTATCGATAAAAAATTCAATAACTGACGTATTTATCTTTCTCATGTTAATAAATATGTATGTCCAATGCGTATCATTTCAATACGTATCCTATTTTTACGTCAGTCAGCTGCTACAGCGTAAAATATTTGGAAATAAAAATTTCGAAAGATCTGAAAAGGCTTTCTACCCTTAGCGTTCGGAGTGAAAATATTTTTACACCCACACCGCGGTCACTCGATTCCGATTGTTTTCATTCGTTATGATTAGAAAAAAAATTAATTAACCAACGATCGATGGGATTCGGTGGTGGGTAATACGTTCGGAATTAAAACGTGCGGTTTAAAGTGACACGGACTTATATCCAACCGGTGCTACGGACATGGCAGAGCGAGGATCGGCAAACACAAAGCAGCCGCAGCTGCAGAAAATGTGGAAGCGACGGCGACGATAATGCCGGAGCCGCACTTATTTGCTGGTTTAATTAAACGTACTTCTTTCACGTTCGACGAGTATTTTCGTTCGACGTTTCATTCCCCCTACACCCGCTCCTTTCTCTTTTGCCTTTCGCTGCCTCGTTATCCTTCCTATCCTCCCCCGTGTTCCACCTCCGCGCCTTCTTACCGGCTTCGACCCTCTCAAATTCTCCGCCCATACCGGATTTATATCCCCTTCCGTCGGTCGCGATATTCGTTAGAAGAAGCATTAAGCTTTAATTTCGCTGAGAACCCCGTGCCTCTTTCACCCTCCTTCTCCTTCTCTCTCTATCGCTCTCTCTCTCTCTCCTTCCTGGTTCTCTCCACGCGTACCACTTCTTCGTTTTACTCACTCGTTACTACTTTCTGAATTTACCCCCGCGCTACTTTCCTTCGACAGACATAATCATCTGAGCTCCGTTTCGCTCGCGGTCCCGCAGTTCAGTTGCGTTGGCTTCTTTGCGGATCCACCGATGAGAAAATAGTTTGCACGAAGTTAAGAAGTCGTATTGTCTATTTTGGAAATTGTGTCAATAAATGGTTTGATCGACCGAGACTGGGATGTATTGGGAACTAAATAATTGCGGAGTTTATCGATAGACTTCTTATTTAAAATCCGCAGTCACTTAGTTGCCAACCCAATAAAATATTATGATAAATTATTCTCGTCGGTACAAATACGAGTTACTCGAATTTTTTGTCGAACCTCGTACGTACACGTTGTACTGATGCCGCATGAAACTTCAGTGCCCGTTATTTTTATCACCGTCAATGATTTATGGGGAAGGAATATCAATCGGAACTGCGAAATTGTTACATGTAATAAATCAAATTCAGACAACAAAATTAATAGATGGAATCTGGAACGAAGTACTGATACGTCAACGGGGGCCATGCGTTCGAATTGTTTTTTCATTTTCATCAGCGTAGAGATAAAACCAATTCGTACGGTGGAAAAAACAAGGAAGTAGGATTTCGTTCCGGAAGGGTGGCGGTTTTACGGATGTCGAAAAGAGTGCAGCGCGGGCGAATTAACTAACTGGGTCAGAAGTCAGGGCCGATAGCGAATGCGTTATTAACGACCAGCCAATCGATAACAAGGAAACGTCAAAAAGGTGAAAATGTCTGTCACTTAGTTCTGCACGGGCTGTCATTACTTTTCAACTGGATAATCCCACGCAATTACTAGCGCCCGCCGGCGACGGTCCTTAGGAAATACTCGATTGGAACCGTGTCGCCAGCTAATTGTACACAGAAAAAGATAAATGTGTCTCTGATTAAAAAACTCGGACGAGGCAACGTATCATCTATATTATTTATACAATTTTGTTGTTCATTTATAACACACACTTCAAAATTAGGATCAGTTTCCTCTAAGTGAGACTCAATCTTTCTACAGTGCGTTAGGCTCTGGTTTACTTCCAGTGCGCTTAAAACTAACAAATAAAACATTTACATTTATTAACCTATTTCCAATAGCGTGTAAAATTGGACTAATAGGAGTCCTCAGAAATACATATTGCAGTACAATTCGAAATGGGTTAATATCCTCACCCATCGAAAACGTATCGTTAAAGCCTTCTGACCAGTTAAAGCCAGTAGAGATTTTGGTTACACGTTTGGATACACTGTAAATGACTAAAATCAGCTTTCACCATTCCTGATATAAATTAAAGCCCTTTGACAATATCGATCCTAACTACACGCGTAGTTACGCATTTCAACAGCTCTCTGTCATCAGAAATTACTGACAAAAATGAACACGATTGTCTGAAATGTAATAATAATCGTTATCTAACTTATCCCGTGAAGTCGAGCTTTCTGTATTTCTATTCTCCAATAAAAATGAAAAATTGATAGCAATATTTCGTCCTTGCGTGGCTTTTAATTTAACGATCGAACGTTCAAGGAATCAGAACGAAGGATACTGGTACACTTGTGGTGCTGTGATCGCTGCAAAGACAGAATACGAAATAGAAAGGAAAAGGAGAGAGGGAGGTGAAAAGAGAGGTAAAACGAAGAAGCGGAGGTAGGTAGTTGTTATCACGGTTCTGTGATAAGTGAGAGTCCTCAGACCGCACGGTGCTCGCGTATCTTTGCGGTGCTCTTTCATAATAATCAAGCCCCTAGAAACCAACCCCTACATCTTCCCGATGCGTTGCACATTTTCGTCGTTCTCCCGTGAACATCTCGAGAGAGAGAGAGAGAGAGAGAAAAGGAGAAGGAAAAAAGCAGATAGGCTTTACCCGCATCTATCAGTTTCTTTCGTTTCCCTCTTTCTTTTCATCGGCCCGTCGTTAACGTCAATTAAGCGTCGTCGCTGCTCAAACGTATAAAATAATTTATCGAACGGAATCTCTCGTTCAACGTCCTTTGGGTATCGACGAAAACGCGTATAAATAATCATTTATATATTTTCAATGGACGTCAGAACGTACGCTGCTTTCAAAACGAATTAATAATAATATTTAAATGCAACGAGATCGATGGGAGAACATCAGAGGATATTAATAAAATCCGAATTTTATTCCTCAATTGTATTTCTATAAATATTTGTTCTGAAATTCTTTCGATATTTTATTATAATAAATCTCGCTGCGTCGACGCATCGTAATTAAATTAAAATATATATAATTCAGGCCGTTAAATACTATTTGTGCAAATAACGAGCAACTTCTCGAGTCGTCTTATTTCGCTCTGCTCCAGTTTCAAGATCCTCAGCCTCGTCCCGTTGTTAGCTCGACTTGTTGTCCCCGGGTAGCGAACTTATTGTTCGTATCAATACGCTGGCGGTTCGCATAACTTGATTTTGCGATCATCCTATTTGCCGGTAGACTTCTGTTAATGTAATAACCGAGCTGCGCCGGACATATTGCGTTACATAATTGTATCGACTGCGTCCGTTCTTACGCGAGGTGTCGACGGTGAAATCGATAAACCGTGAAATTGAAATCTCAATTCGATTTTCAATCACATAGATCAATGCAATCGACAAAAAAGAAGAGTCGTGAAACCGTTTTTAGAACGGAACGGGCACAGCAGAAAATTCGGTTTCATCCTAAAACAACGTTCCCCGATCGGCGTAATTAATTTCAATGCGTGAGTGCAGCGTCGTTGTTCCAGAATATTTATTGTAATCATAATACGAGCGGACTTTTGAAAATGAAATTTTCATTCTCGTACAATTGAAGTATAAATAATGACTTTAATTTACGTGGTGACCCGTGTGTACATGCGTATATATAACGCGCGCGCGCGCGCGTGTGTGTGTGTTGTAATTAAAATTGTTAATGAAAATCTGCAGGGCTCGATGTTTACAACAAAATTTGATATCCCGTTTTGAATTTAAAAATTT